ATAAAAACACCGGTATCTCTTTTGACACTGTTTCATAAACTTTATTGAAAAATGTAATAAGCAAATATTATTCATACAAAAAAATAGGTATAAATAATCTAATCATAAAACTAAGAGTCAATAACGAAAAATAAATCTCTGAAAAATATAAGCAATCGTGGACTTACTTCAAATTTGAAGAGCCTTTCAAGAACCACTGTGTTAAGGAACGGTTAATACAGGGTATATATTAGTTCACACCGGTTGAAGTTTTAGATTCATTAAATGATCATTTTTCTGATACAAACATTTATTAGCATTTTTTTATACTACTGGATATTCTTAATAGAGAATTTCGTAGAACCCTTTCTACCAACTTAATGCGTGGTTTGAAATCATAGCCGGCGCAGTGACTATGTCAAAATCAACTTCTTTGTCATCTGGAATAATATAGTTTCTGCTTCTTTTTCATTTTAAAACGTATAAAATATTTTAGCAAAACACACAATTTGATCTCTGTAAAAAATACAAACAAAATTTTTTTATTGTTGTGGGTTAATGCTCTTTTGTATAATAGTATTCAAATGTACCTACATTCCGCGGTGGTTTATTTTGAACATAATATATGAGCCGCTCAGATGAAAAGTGGTATAAACTTAACTTTTGGTAAATACAGATTTTGCATGTTAACGAACTAAAAAATCTCAGTAATACCTACTTACGGAGCAAGTTGTGACGGATTCTTGACAAGAATTTGTTGAAATTTATATGGGATGCCGAATTACAAAGATTTAAGTTCGTTGTTCTCATGTAATTAGATGTTACTTCCAGAATACCATTTCACCAACAAACATTTGTGGCGAGTCTAGCAGAAAAGTGATATAACTCAATGAGTTATACCACTTTTCCACTTAAGAGCTTGTTTGACAATGTACGTTTTTTGTTTGTATTATTGAATCTATTGAAAGTGTATGCAATTGCTCAATATCACGAAAGGTTTCCTTGTACAAAATTATTTTGGGAGATTTGCCAAACTGTAGCCACTGAACTTGTAACCATCTAAAAGGCATTTTATCGGCGTTCACCTTTCGTTTTGTGACAGACTTTTCCAACGTTTGAGTTGACAAAAGATCATCTCATTGTATTTCGTATACATAAAACTTGTTGTTTCTTGCATTACGTATTATTCGTATCCAGTATCCAGTATCTTGTGGCGTGTATATTAAAGTTGGTTTTGCTGTCCTTTCAATGAGCGCAAATAAATTTGTGATCTACTTTAGTGACACTGTTGTTAATGTTTTTAACTATAGCATTCCAAATCAGTGACAAGTTTATATTTCGATTTTGGCCCGTGCATGCGTCACTGTATGCAATGATGTGTTTAGTGTCGGCACAGTGAAGTTCGAAGTATTTCATGAGGCACAAACCAATTTCTTGAGATCCGCGGGACGCAATAGTTTCATCCCATGTGTACATGAACGTTTGGCCGGTTGCAGTGTGGTGAAACCCAAAGTTATACACGTACTTGTTACGTTTATAATAAGCGACCGAGGTAGAGAGCTTGGGAAACGCCAGGGCTTTCTCGAGATCGAATGTGAAAACCACAGTATCTTCTGAATGTTTTGACAGTTCTGTGTCTTCTTGCAAAGACATTCTTGCTTTTTCAGCTTTTCGCAAATGCAGCTGGTGTTTCGTTTCCAGTATTTTCTGGTCCATCAGGTAAAACTGCAACTAAAAGTTTGTACTTATCACAACGTGCACACGTGTCCTTCCTAGGTGCGTGGAAAGACAAATTGAATTCTTTGTTGAACACGTCTCTGTAGATGTGCTCTTTAACCACTTTTTCTGGGGCATACCTTTTTCTTCGCAGTACCGTAGATATAGATTGTAGAGTTTCCTAATGTTGAGCTCAGGGCTTAAGTATTTTCTGTTTGGGTTATGAGCCCTAGTGTAATGACTATCATATCAAGGAAATAGTTCAATATGTTCCCTAATAACATTTAGAGCGTCATCTGATGTTTTGTTAGCACACAGGTTTTCTCCACGGAGATCTTCGCCCGGAGGCTTACCCAGTTCCTTTTTTTTTAAACAGCCTTTGAAGTCTTCCGTTTGAGATATTAAAAGTATCCAGAAAGTACTTCTTACAAATTACGACACTCTCTGATTTAATATTTACAACGTACTTGTATGTTACAGATTTTGGTCCATTTGATGACTCGGTATGCTTATTCGGGCGGCGTTGTTGTACTGGAACTCGCTGGACAAGTCCCGAAATATAAGCATTTTGACGAGAAAAATCCCCCAAACTCCAAAAACGAGAAAACAGCCCCTTTCTATCTAATTCACTAACAAAACAAAAAATTTTCAGCGTTTTACACACCCACAAGTTGTATTCTTAAAAGTCTTTGCGGGTATAACCTTGCCCTTGTTTGTCAAATACTCCTTCCTAGCATTCCTCTGTGTTTTACGTTTAACTCGCTTTTTATCGCCATCGTGCCTTACACGTTTCTTGCCTTTTCTTACATTATTTCCCACACTGACTGTACTATTTTCACAAATATGATTTAAGGTCGATTCAGACACATTAGTCACGTCTCGTCACAGTCCTGGCACCGAACCGAACAATCCGTCATACAAAATATTCTTTAATAGAAATATGGCGCCGGCATTCACATTTATCAGGCGACGAACAGTTTCCCATCTGTCAGATAGTTAATAGTTCTGTGACCAAACAGGACCGGTTCGGCGTCGGGACTATGACGGGACTGATGTGTCTGAATCTACCTTTACACTAGTCATTGTTTCTTAATATTGTTCTGAAGCTATTTTCTTGTGGCATTGTAAATTAATTACTATTTATAACTGGGAATAAGCCACAATTAGATATAAAAATACGTTTATTGACGTTTCAATTTCCAATTCGGAAATCGTTCTCAAAATACAAACAGTAAATTAAACAAATTTTGTTTTTTGTTACATAGTGAAAAAATTCTTCTAATAATTTAATTTTATCTGACTCATTTATATTGACAATTCAGACATACATTATGCATTTTAAAGTAGACGACTTTAAAATGATATTGCCAATATTGTTGAGTTGCGCTCCTGGGACGACTTTACTTATAAGATAGTTCATTCGATTATACATGAAATCAACTTTAACTTGAGAATATCCGTCAGAAAAAATCATAGCATCTAATTCGTCTTTAAAAGACAAACACATGACATGATGACAGTAAAATTCTCCTGTTAGTGATTCCATAGTAAATTATGAGGGAAAAACAGGAAAAAAAAACCTCATAATACTATCCCGACATTGTAAGTATTTGTTCGTGAATTTAGTTTACCTTCAACAAACATCAAAAATTCTGATTTTATATGTTACGTTATTTAAAAACATAAATGATGTATCCTCTATATGTTACTGACTTACTAATACTGGTATTTTCTTATTAATAACTACCTCTTTCAATATTGGTAACCAGATAAGGAATATAAGGAATAATATGAGGAAAATAACAATACCGTACATAAAAGGATTATCAGAAAAACTTAAAAGGATAGGAAATAAATTCAACATTTTCAACAACATTCAAAACAACAAACACGTTGAGATCTATTTTGTCCAAAACCAAACCTAACAATGAACAAGAAAGGACAAAGAATTGCATTTATAAAATACCTTGTGAATGCGATCAGTTTTATTTAGGTGAATCATCAAGGCCATTAAATGTTAGAATAAGTGAACATCAATCTTATATTAAAAATAGAGAATTTGATAGATCTCAAATATGTAAACACGCATGGGATAATGAACATAGGGTTCAATGGAATAATTCAAATATAGTCCTAAAAGAAACGGATGGTAAAAAAAGAAAAATCAAAGAAGCGGCTCTAATTATGCTAAATGAGGCCAATTGTGTCGCAAATTCCTCGGCAGAATGTAGTAGGATCTGGTTACCAATATTGAAAGAGGAAGTTATTAATAAGAAAATACCAGTATTAGTAAGTCAGTAACATATAGAGGATACATCATTTATGTTTTTAAATAACGTAACATATAAAATCAGAATTTTTAATGTTTGTTGAAGGTAAACTAAATTCACGAACAAATACTTACAATGTCGGGAAGTATTATGAGGTTTTTTTCCTGGTTTTTCCCTCATAATTTACTATGGAATCACTAACAGGAGAATTTTACTGTCATCATGTCATGTGTTTGTCTTTTTAATGACGAATTAGATGCTATGATTTTTTCTGACGGATATTCTCAAGTTAAAGTTGATTTCATGTAATCGAATGAACTATCTTATAAGTAAAGTCGTCCCAGGAGCGCAACTCAACAATATTGGCAATATCATTTTAAAGTCGTCTACTTTAAAATGCATAATGTATGTCTGAATTGTCAATATAAATGAGTCAGATAAAATTAAATTATTAGAAGAATTTTTTCACTATGTAACAAAAAACAAAATTTGTTTAATTTACTGTTTGTATTTTGAGAACGATTTCCGAATTGGAAATTGAAACGTCAATAAACGTATTTTTATATTTAATTGTGGCTTATTCCCAGTTATAAATAGTAATTAAGTCATTGTTTCTGTATACAAAAAAGTAAAAAGAAACACTTTTTAGTAATTAATCTGATGCAGTTATCGTGAATCAGGTAAAATCCATACAATACAATACGATTAGAAGAACCTCACTGTTCACGACAGCGACATTCGTAGAACTACCGACAGCGGACGGATCAGACACGATGACGGGTGGTGTTATGAGTTATACCACTATTCCACAGAGCGCGAGGCATTTCGTTCAAAGGAAAAATATTACACCGTTATTATCTCACTAACCTTGAATACTTGAATTATACCACTTCTCTATGGAACACATTGCACCACTAGGTACTCACAACTGGTATATCTCAAAAATTCAAATTTTGTGAGCTATACCACTTGTCCTCTGAGCGGCTCATATTTGGTCATGCTTGCCGATAAGAACTATTCGATTCCTAATTTTAGTTATCCACTTGAAGCACATTTTGTACATTACGCCAGATCTGCTGGAAGTGTAGCTGAAGGGTTGAAGAGACCTAATGGAATTGCTGTTTTGGGTGTTTTATTGGAAGTAAGTTCAATTTGCCAAATTAATAATAATTAAATAATTTCGACAAATAATAAATGCTTTAGATAAAAGTTCTGCAACTAGACAGAGTGACTATAAAGAATGAACGAAATTGTAACTGTATGTTTAGAATTCAAATAATAATATTTTGAAAAATTAAAAGAGAAAAACCAAGTGGTTCGCTGCATACTATACAGTACTTACAATGAAGTAAAACTTTTGATGGTACAGAATTTAATAAAAATTAAAATTTTCAGAACGTTTGCGGTTCTCTCAAAGCATCATCAATGAAAACCTAGAAATAAGTATTTACACGTTAAAATAATTAATGTAAAGAGGTAAAATTTTGAGTGTTATATCGTCGGTATACTGCAAAAACCAAGTAAATGACAAATTTTAAAATATTGAGTTAGGTATACCAAAATTCTCAGCTTTTTCCGCTATACATACAGGTAAAACTCAATAAATGATACGACTTACCATTCAGCAGATAATTTGTGTAATAAACAAATAAGTTACACCTATCCGACTTTTCATATATTCAAATAAAACAACATATCGCTACTTATTTCCATAAAATTAAAGTTATGTTGCATGTAAAACAAATTAAGCCCATATATATTATTATGTTGGACAACAATGTATTTCTACTACTGCATACCATATTCAGTAGAAAGGTAATAAGTGTCTTTAATACATTTTACATGTATGGTTTATTAAAATTTCTCTTTTCATATCGACTAGTAAAGTACACTTACTTCATTCTGCCTGAAAACGGGTTGAGTTAAAAGTTAGAAATGATTCTTCTTCGTCAAGTGCCCTGTCTGTTGCGAACGTTGGCTATTAACATGGCAATTTTGATCTTGTTTGCGGCGCTTCTGAATAGTTCGACCGATGTGAGCCCGAACCACTTCCGCAGATTTTGGAGCCACGAGTGTCTTCTCCTGCCTGGCCCTCGCTTACTGTCTATTTTCCCTGGACAATCAATTGTAGCAGACGGTACTTATCGTGTCTCAATATGTGGCCTAGATATTCAAGCTTTCTTTGTTTAATTGTATTCTCGATCTCTTTCTCCTTTCCGATTCTTTGGAGTACCTCTATGTTGGTGACATGTTCGGTCCAGGATATACGAAGAATGCGTCGGTACACCACATTTCGAATGCTTCTAGTTTCCTCGTTAGCGTCTCCGTCAGCGTCCAGGCCTCCACGCCATACAGCAAGATCAGAAAAATGTAGCATTTAACTAGACGTAGTTTTAGGGGAAGAGACAAATCCTTGCTTATGAGGATCTTTTTCATATTGCTAAATGCTGCTCTAGCTCGTTCTATTCTCGCCTTAATTTATATGGTCTGTTCCCATTTTGCATTTACGTTGGTGCCAAGGTACACATAAGATTCTACATGATCAATTAGTATGTTACTTATCCGTAATTGTCGAGCAGGTTGTTGCTTTTTGCTTATCAGCATCCACTTTGTCTTCTTGAAGTTGAGGCTAAGGCCGTATTCATTACTATCTGAATAAAGTCTTTCCATTACTTGTTGTAATTTGTCTATGGTACTGGCAAGGATCACCGTATCGTCGGCATATCTTCTATTGTTCGTTAACTCGCCGTTTATTTTTATGCCCTCATTTGCATTTTCCATACATTTGTTAAATATTTCCTCGGAATACATATTGAATAGGAGTGGGGATAATATACACCCCTGACGGACACCTCTTTTGATCTGCACGTTTTTTAGAAATGATTACTAACTTAAAACCATAAGTGATCCTAATGGTGTTTATGATATAATTTATCTGCTAATAAATTAAGCTAATAATATAAGATTATGCTAAAATTAAGCAGACATAAATAAAATTGCTTGTCGTCTGTATTTGTGACTAGACAGAAAGTTTTGAAATACTTTGTTAATAGGTATTAATTAGTTACTTGTTGTGCAATATCTTGTGCTCTTTAGATTCCTTTGAAACTGAAGACAACAGTTCAATTCTTGATGATTCTCAGGACAATATAGTCTCAATGATGGAATCCATTTTTGATAGTGACTTTTCAGATGTAGACCCCACATATCAGCCAAGTGAAAAGGGATCACTCTCTCTAGGAAGTATATATGAATTACAAACAGTTGACCTTGATAGCCTAAATGATGAGAAAAAAAAATACTGAAATAGGTGCACCCACGAACAATTTAGTGGCAACTGAAATATCTAGTTGGATATTAAATCTACTTCTTGACAAAGTATGGAAAGCCTTCGTCCAATAAACCGTTGAAGAAAAGCTAACTCGGGTAATACATGTCACAAAAAGGAGGCGTGCTGAGAGTTTGCCTTAGGATATAAAAAAAAAGAATAGACAAGCAAAATTGCCAAAACCAGTTAATTGTTCAGAGTGCTTTTACAAATGTGCTAGTTATTTCAGCGAAGATTACAGACAAAGACTATGTCGTGATTATTGAAAGTTAGAATATATAGACCAGAAAAATTTTTCTATTGCCCGTATTAAAACGGAGCCACCATAGAGTCGTTGAAATTCGTCGAAGTTTATAAAAACCACTTGCATTTTCCAAAAAACGTTACTTTTCTTTGAATGGTCAACACATACAGGTATATGACAATTTTTTTTGTAAGACACTTTGTATATCAGATTCGCTAATACAAGATATAAGAAAAACTAATATTCTAGGCTGTTAGGCAGATACGGATAAAAGAGGCAAGCATACACTGCCAAATAAAACAAGCAGTGAAACCCGAAAAATCGTGAAGGGTCATATTGAGTCTTTTCCAACCATGGGTCCCCATTATATTCGCCAAAGTTCAAAGCGTAGATATTTGGACAAAAAGTTAAGTTTAAATTTTAATTTAATTAATTTAAAAGGTATTAACTTTATATAAATGACTGTAAACAGAAAAAACTGGAAGGTGTTATCGAAATTACATATCGAAGAATATTTTCTAACGACTATAATTTAAGCTTTTTTGTTATTAAAAAAGATCAATGTTTAGTTTGTAATAAATATGATAGGGCGAATCCAACTGACAAATCAGATTTAGAAGATAGTTATAGAGAACATCAGAAAAGAAAAGAAGTATTTAATCTTGAAAAACAAAATGATTAGAAAAGATCTAATGAACAACGGGATTTAGTTTTAATTACTTTCGATCTACAGGCCGTACTAAAGATTCCAAGTGGATTGACTAGACAACTATATTATTCTCGAAAATTATGCGTCTACAAATTGTGTGTATATGAAGCTGCATTATTAAATGCAGCTTTCTGTTTTGTCTGGTAAGAAATTAACGGTAGACGAGGAAGTTCTGAAATAGGAAGCATTAATACTTCACTACTTATCAAAATGTGTTCCAGAATATGTAAGTGAAATAAATTTATTTTCTGATACCTGCGTTGGACAGAATGGTAATTAGCATATTGCAGGATTACTATTATGGGCTATTCAAAACATAGACCATTTAAATATTATTCAACACACATTTTTAGAGTCTGGACATTCCTATATAGCAGTTGACTCTATGCAAAGTAGTATTGAAACCGCTAAAAACGCAAATTTATCTATGGGATGCCAGATTTCTTTTCTGTTCTTCAAAATGCAAGAGGAACTAAAATATTAAGGTTGATGATAAAAACGTATATATAGAACCATACAAATGTAAAGAGTTTAAATACTACGACATTTATGATTTTAAAAATTTGTAACACACTTTAATTAAAAACCGGACAAAAGGCCAAAACGGCAAAAAATCATGTGGTTGAAGATAAAAAGAATGAGATTCGTGAAAGGAGAGACAAACAGAATCTATTTTAATTATGACATGTCAAAAAGCTCCATTTATTTCCATACTGATACTGCACGGCAATCAACAAGAAAAGAGCACGCCAAGGTATCAACTAATACAAGCAATCTTGAAGAACTTTAACGACTTTATGATGCACATTTGCCAATTAGCATAGCAAAAAAGAGAGACGTGGTACAGCTATGTAATAAGGGAGTGATACCGGAGGAATATCACGTGTGGTATCGTAATTTGAAAAGGGGAAATGATGTAACAGATATCTTGTCATTGCCTGCTTTCAGTGACGAATCGGACCAGGAAGCCTCATAATAATAATATTGTTATATATCATTCATATAAATAATAACTACAACTACAAACAGCTATTCGTAAAATTATCAGGGAAAACCAATTAAATGTCAAAATTATCGACTAATACCTTAAAACATTGCTATTACCCAGTAAATTATGCTATTTGAAGCGTAACTGATTTATTTAGATTTACAGGTAAAACCAGGTAAGTGTTTTATAGCATTTCCAACTTAAATTTAGGATTAGTCAGATAGCTGTTTCAACTGTTTCAAACTAATGATAGAATATCATTTCAGATATATGCATCGTTCACTAGAATAACTGATATCAAAAACAAGCTGCTTAATTCACAATAAACAACTAAACTTGGTTTACCTGGTTCGACATTTGCTTGGTTTTCGCAGTATACCGACGAGCCGACGATATTGAAAACGTGGTAAATACTTTCATCTTAAAAAAATAGTTGAAACTAGCCACATAGCAAGGTATAATAACCCTTAGATTACATATTAAAAATATTAAATTTTAAAAATGTGACACGACATACAGAAGACCACATTGTCAGAAACCAGATAGACTTTATACTCGTAAATAGCAGATATAAAAACTCTATAACATCAGTTAAAACTTATCCTGGAGCAAATGTTAACTCAGACCACAATTCGTTAGTGGTTAACGTGAAAATAAAATTAAAAAAAATTGAACTCAGAAAACAACAACCAAAAATTAACGTAAGAATGCTACCAAACGAAGAAATAAAAAACGAATTAAAAAATATTGTGAATATTAATAATGTTAATATGCAAAAAACACTATCTGACAAGAAACAAATTATGGATGTAAATAAAAAGTGGTATAATATAAAAAACACATTACTGAAACCAACTCAAGAAAGTTTAATA